ACTGTTTGTATATCATACAATTAGTAATTATATTTTGTGTACAAAGAATAAGACATATTACTGTTGTAATGGATCAAATTCATTCAACTCTATTTTTTAGTTAACTTGATCTATAACAAGACTCAAATTTGTTTAAATTGGATCTGTGGAGCTCAAGCAACCATAAGCTACTAAACAAATGCTTCGCTATGTATTGATTCTTTCAAGCTTTATCTGTTTTTTATTGTTATAACTTTGCATTCTTAAATAGGATGCATATGTCAGAAAGTTTCTTCGGTGTCACGTGATCGTTAGTGAAAGGGCATAAGATTGTTTTAATGTTGATGTTAGATTTCTCCGTAACTGTAATGGCCATTTATGACTAGTTTGTATTAGTCATTTGTGACTAGTTACTTTTTTGGTTGAATTATGAATTCAATCCCAGAATTTCTCAATAAAAGAAAACACAAATGCTTGGCCAACTTGGTTGGTTTATATACCATCAATTTCATCAAGAAAATATAGTGACTAAATTATAAATACAAATTTCACTTGATTAAAAAAAAAAACTTAAAAACTTAACAAACATAAATTTGACAATTAACTTAATAAACTTAATAAGCTTGATATAATAATATGATGTATAGTCTATCCAGAAATGTGGATAAGAATAAGAACTTGTTACTCAAACTCATGAAGGGTAGGGAGCACTTACCTTTGTCATAACTCAAAATGTGTGATATTTTATTAAAGTGTTTGTTATAAGCTAAGAGCAATTCTAAGAGCCTCTTCAACAATTTTGGAATGCTAAAATAAGTGAGCCACATTATCAAAACCCTCTCCAACTGCCTTATTAAACTCAATCATCAAAGTTACAACATCTTTCTCTCTTTTCAGAACTAGAAAGTTGACCTTGGCTCTTCTTTTCTTTTTTCTTTTTTTATAAATTATGGGATTGCATTCATAATTTAGCCAAAAAAGCCACTAGCCGCAAAGAGCCAATACAAACCAACCACAAAAGGCCATTACAATAACGGAGCGATCTAACATCAAAATTATGACAATTTGAGGCTTCTCCACTAATGATCACACAGGATCAAAAAAACTCTTACATAAGCATCACAACTAAGAGTGCAAACTCAGAACAACCAAAAAGAGATAAATCTTGAAAATACCAAGCTATAACAATATAAATAAAACTCTTATAAAGGAGATGTAGAAAGCTCTCACGAAGAAAAGGTGAAAAACTCTCACAAAATGAGAAGTGAAAACTACACAGAAAACCCAAAGAGTATCTGCGACTTATTCCAAAGATGAAGAAACCTGAAAAACGATGGTGGTAGAGATCCAACACCGAAATATATGTGGATATCCGACATCGAGACACATCTGCCTATGATGAGTGGAGGAAATCATTACAAAACAAAGACAAATAGGGAAAACCTTTTATCTCTGAAAATGGGGGAAAATATAAGAAATAATTCTTCCTCCCCCCTTAAAGTGAAAATAGTTGTAGAGGTTTTTTTTGGGAGAGAAGAGGCTAGGATTTGTGATGGTGTCTTGGGTCTTTGACCTTGGCTCTTCAAAACATTTAATTTTAATTTGGAAAAAAAAAACATATCTTGAAAATATTAAAAACATGCATTGTTATTTTCGGATAATAAATACATAGACATTTTTCATATTTTTCGCTCTTTTCCATAATATTTCATTAATTGAATTGAAGAGTTTGTTGGGGCATAAATTATTAAAATAGCAAATAAACCTTTTCAAATTGTCACATAGGTCAACAAACTTTAATTTGAAGAGTTTAGTTTGCTACTACTATTGGAGACTCCTGAGCAACATTGCTGAGATATGATTTCACTAAGAAAGTGTTGCTCATAATTATTATAATGCAATAACATACTAATTTTGTGCAAAAAATCAATAATTAATGTAATGTTAAAAGTTGGAAAATGTCCTAAATTCGAATCTCTAACGAACGTTACACTGAACTAAATTTTTACTTTAAGATGAGTCGAGAGCTCAATTATATTAAATTTCATTAAGAGCACTTATCAACATTTCTTTGATACTTCATAATAATATATTTCAGATTCAAAAACATGCAATTAGAATAGTGAAATGTTGCTATATTCGCTGAGAGAATAATTTCCAAGGCAAACAAGTAAGCATAATCATGTGTGGTTATGTCTTGTTGTGCTGAGTATACCAACACAATGTTTCAAAGTTTGAACAACCATTGATTCCCAATTGCTTATTTTCTTGTAGTTTACACCAAAATAATGGAGCTTGCCACCGCCGTCAGAGCCACCCCATGTTTGTTTGTCTAGCAAAAGGGTGGCCAACTCAGCCTCTCTCTACCTACCCTTCCAACACAAAGCCGTGCATATTCAAAGTACTCATAATTATTATTGCAATATTCCCTTTATTTCAATTTTCAAAGCTTATATTATTATGTACAATGACCATTATATAACGCACATGCAACATTTTACATATTTGAAAATTGAACCTTTTTATTGTACATGTAACATATTCCTCGACAATAATATTGATTGGCCTGATTTTGCTTTTAAATGTTCCCTTCCCTCAATTCTCAGCTGAAGAAACGTGTATAGCCTTTCTCTTAAACTTCAATTAGTCACTAAATTTATTTAAAGGATATTACTTGTCTTTTTATCAATAAGGAGATACTCCTCCTTTCTGCGAATTACAGATTGACATATATGCAAAAATAATTCATTACAAATACAAAAATAAAAAATTATGCACACATGTTACGCTACTATTGATAGAAATGTAAGAGCTACTACTTACTTGGTAAGGAATGAAATATTTTCCTTATTTAAATACCAAAGCAAAAGGAACTGTAAAAAAAATAAAGTGGATTTCAAAATCATGAATAGGACCGTTTGCCAAGTCTAATGTTAGCATTGATTCATAGAAAATGAAAGGAAAAAAGCTAATTTTCTAAGGTATATTTATGCGCTAAGTACATATGTAGTATTCATCGTTGGATGGGCTTTAAAAGCATTGAGTGATTGGAGTATCCACCAATCCAACAATGAATACTGCATATATACTTAGTACAATAATGTATCCAAGAAAATAGGAAAATACGGTTATATTTGGCAAATTCCTTATTTAACGTGGAGCCGAACTCCATTTTAACTGGATCAAGAATTTTATAGTGAGGGCCTTATATATGACCCTTAGGTGAGGCTCTATTTATTAGTCGTTAGATCAAATTGGTTAGCCATTTGATCAAATTGGTTAGCCTAAATCAACGGTTAAGAGATAAGACCTCACCTAAGAGTATGGATGACAATTTTCCCACGGATAAGAGTCTTCACAGAGATTCAACCCTAATGGGTCGGATATGAATGATAAAAAATGGGTATGGGAACGGGTTAGGGGAATTTTTCCGGTATGGTAGTCGGGAATGGGCAGGGATGATTTTCTAATCCTCGACCCGAACCCTCCCCATTTAGAATATATACATATACATAATTTATTTTATCATATAATTATATTATTAAGATGTATGATGGTGGTGCTACTTCTATATTGATGATCATGTCTTGAACATGTAGTTATGACACGTGTTAATTTTTTTTATAACTATTCTATATTTTTAGTTAATAAAAATGAAATTGATACATATCTTGTGCTAATAATGTTTTTTTTTTTCTCGTTTTAACAAAGTAGCTTTTTGTTTTTTACTTTTTCATAATGGGGCGGGTCGAGGAACCTATTCCCCAATGAAGGAGGGGATGGGGAATCCCTGATTTGAAGATTGTTGATATGAAGGCAGGGATGGGGAAAAAATGTGCAATGAGGATGAGGATGGCATACCCACCCTTCATTTGACCCATTGTCATCCCTACATAAGGGCCATATATAAGGCACTCAATATAGAATGACTCTTAAGTGGATGAAAAAGATTAATTTATTGGGCGTGTTGGGCTTATCTACTATTGCTTTATGGGGTTGATGTCTAAAACTGTTCTCTAATAATGATGATAATCAACATGGACATGTAAATATGGTCCCCCTAACCACTCTCAAAACATCATTGGATACAAATGAGTGTATTAAGTAAAATATAAGGTTGATGGCTCTCTTGATCGTTTCAAGTCACGCTTTGTGTTAAGGGGTGTTCCATCAACAATCCGGAATCAATTACTCTCAAACCTTTAGACCCATTGTAAAATCCATCACCATTAGAATCATCTTATCACTTGTCTAATATGATTGGTCCATCACTCAATTACATGTCTCCAATATCTTCCTCCATGGCACCATCCGCGAAGAAGTCTACATGCCCCAACCTCCCGATTTCATTGATTCCTCAAAACTTCTCCTTGGAATGGGTTTTACACCATCTTTTCATTAGGTCTAATTAGTCTTTCACCTTCATTAGTCTCCCACATATTGTCAAAATTTAATCCAACAACTAGAGGCAAATTCTGCCATAAAAAACCTTGACAACGGGATAAAATTTTGGTGTTGAGTCTGAAAAAAGGATTGTTGGATTTCAATAAAAATGTTCATTTGTAAGAGCATCTACAGTGGGGGAGTGTATGTTAAATATACACCCCAAGTCACCGGAATCGTCTCCAATGGAAAGATGTAAATGGATGTAAATATACATCATTATCATGGGGATGTAAAATAAAATGTATATTTACATCTATTTTTACATTCCTTGCAAACGGAACCCACCCGAGAAAAGAGAAGAAAAATAAAGAAAATTCAACATAAAAGGCTGGACCCATGGCTACACCCCCAAATTTACACCTCCCCATTGGAGAAAAAACATATTTACACCCCCTCCCCCGGGAGGTGTAAAGAGGATGTAAAAGTGACTTTACACCCCCCACTATGGATGCTCTAAAAGGAAAAGGAAATGTGGTTTTTGTCAATTCTACTACAAAGCAAGCCCAAACCCAAAAAGCTGGGCAGAAGAAGCTCCAGGCCCAAATCAAAAGAGCAATCTTATTTTTGGTAAGAAAAACAGTAACTCTGTATCAAAGGAAAGTGGGCGTTGACAACGCAAAGACACAAGAACACAAGCCAAGCAAAGCCAGAAGGCGAATTCAGAAGAAGGGCTGATTCGGCCGAAGGTGTGAGTATCTTCTTCTCTGTGACTGCACCAGGGTTTGCCAATTTAGGGCTTTCCTCGTCGGGGCTATTCAATTTTCCATCTTTGCAGTCGCAGAGACTCTGAAAACAAAAAACAAAAAACAAAAAAGAGGGCAAAAAGATCGAATTTTGAATGAGAGCGAGTGCCATATATTCTCGTGGGTATTAGGGTTTTGCAATTCAATTTAGCAGAGAAAAGAGGAGATTGTTGGAAATGGCTTACAGGAGGAGGCAGCAGGTGCCATCATCTTCGTCATCAACATCAAGCCCAAGCTTTCGATTTGAAGAAGAAGAAGACGAAAAATCTCGGTACCCACTTCCTCCGCCGCAGTCCGATGATTCGCTTGCGGCCAAAGCTATTCGAGCCTCTTCGGCACACCGCGACTCTTCTCTCTCCTCTGCTTATGCCGCTCGCGGTGCTCAGCCTGCTGTCAACTCCTCGTCACCTTCCCGATTTTCCAACCCTCCCACCACCACAACCCCTGCGTCGTCTTCTCCCTCACAGGTCTGGGAATTCACATGCTTTATGTTGTTTTCATTCGCGAATTGGCTTCTGTGTTGCATCTGATGTGGTTTGATTCTACCCATTTCTTGCTTTCGCTGCTACTTGCAAGTTCCAATGCCTTTTTATCTGTTGTGTTTTGTAGCCACATGAGTATACATCAATAAAAAACTTGAGTGAATCCAAACATGGGTTTTGGGGTGTACTTGCTAGAAAAGCCAAAGCCATTCTCGACGACGACGAGGATAATGCAGCTGAAAATTATGATTCTCCTGGAAGAACAAGGGTGGACATGCCTTCTACACCAACAAGGGGTAAGGTGAGATAATCTTGGTCTTATGGTAGCTTGGCATTTTCCAAAGACGTGCAGTTGCTGCTTCATTGTTCATTCATCATTTAGTTGTGTATCTGCGGACTTTTAGTATCTAATACTAAGTTGTATATCTACTAACTATTTGCAGCAGTATCGTGATCCAAACCAACATGTTGAGAGCCGTGGAAGGACAGACAACCCGACGTTACAGAAGGGGTTGGGTGCATTCACATCATCCCTTAGTTATATTAGTGGAACCATTGGGACTGCCTTGGAGGTAGGCATTGCAAAAGCTATATTAAAGTCAATTTTGAGCTTTAAATGGTTTTCTCAGGCTGTCAAAAGTAATCCCACTATTTTTCCTACTCTTTCATTCTATTTTCTGAAACATAGTAAGTTGTCCGTGTGTGTTTATACATAAGGCTAATATGAATGGAAACAATTACTCTGTGTGTGTGTGTTTGTATCTGCACAAATTCATTGACTTTATGTTTAGCTTACTCTGGAATCAATTCAATAAATTGGTACTTACCATTCGATCATGTATGCACTGTTTGTGTTTCACTTTGACAGGAAGGTCGTACGATTGTTGAGAACCGGACTGCAGACATCATTCAAGAAACTCGTAAGCATATCAAGAAAAAGGCCAGTGGTTCTGCACAGAATCAGGCGCAAAAACCTCAGACGCAAGCTGACCTCGAACTTCAATTGAAGGCATCTCGCGACGTAAGGTGGCAACTTTTGTGTCACTGGTTGATATAATAGAAGTTATATGCTTGCAGCCGGAATATGAATAATGTTGGGATGTTGGAATATTTTAATTAATTTCCTCCTTATCATGCATGAAATCTGTTGAGTCTGGTATGACCCTCTTTGTACAAATAATTAACAGTTAATAGAATGAAAATTTTTGGATGACTTTGATGCTCCATAATCCATAACCTTGCTATTGGGTTCACGTGTAGCACAATTGTTTGATGCTTACAATTCACTTGTATAATAAGAAGCATGATTTGCCTTTTGTTTGCACTACAGGTAGCAATGGCAATGGCTGCCAAAGCAAAACTTCTTCTTCGGGAGTTGAAGACTGTCAAAGCAGATTTTGCTTTTGCAAAGGAGCGATGTGCTCAGCTGGAGGAAGAAAACAAAATCCTTCGAGAGAATCGTGAAAGGGGAGACAGCCCTGAAGATGATGATTTGGTATCAATTTTTTTCTTTCTTCATTAGTAGTGTTTTTTGGTTTATTATCTTTTACATTGGCTTCTTCTTTTGTTAATTTATCTTTCTTTTGAGACTTGAAATTATGTTTGGTTTACAATTTACCATCTTCATTTCCGATGTTATATATTTAAAGACCTTATAAATAGTTTGAGCAGGACAAGAACCTCCTTGATACATTTTAATGCTTATGTTCTATGTGCATAGTGACATCAGGTGCAATGTCTCTGATGCGAATATTTCCCTTTCAGATACGGCTGCAATTGGAAACACTTTTGGCAGAGAAAGCAAGATTGGCACATGAAAATTCAGTTTATGCACGTGAAAATCGCTTCCTAAGGGAGGTTGTCGAATATCACCAGCTTACCATGCAGGATGTTGTTTACTTGGACGAGGGAACTGAAGAAGTCACTGAAGTTTATCCCATTAAGGTACCTTTTAGTTTCTAGTTGAACTCCTGTCTCCATTGCACTACCTGTATCCCTATCCGCTGTCATCTGCACTGCTTTGTAGGCCGACTTTGACATAACTGTTCATTGACCCAGGTCATACCTTCTTATTCTTCACCAGCATCAGAAGTCCGGGGAGTTTCCCAAAATTCTTCCCAATGAAGCTCTTCTATCCCCCTTTTGATGGCAACTGGAGATGTTTCTCTTTGATTGGCAAGGGCATATAATCTATACTTTCAACAAAGGCTTGAAGTTGTAGCAATATTATTTGTTGTTTGTAATATACTTTTTGCCATTTATTATCAGTCCGTCCAATTTGCTTGGCTGATATGTGTAGTTCATGTCCCATGAGCTTTAAAAAGCTTCTTAACATACAATGATAATTTATTTAGTGCTTGGGATTCACACACCAAAAAAAAAAAAAAAAAAAATCCTGCATTTTGATTAATTGGCTTGTGGGTTCATACATAACACCTGAAACATGGATGTTGGCAGCTTTTGAGCATTTGTAGACGAGCCTATTGAGAAGGGCAACTTATTCCAACAGGCTTGAATTCGAACGGAATTGAACAAAGCCTCATCCCCTTCAAGTTTTACACATGAAATGTAAGGCTTTAGACCAACAAACCAAATGCTATCTATGATGTATTAGACACTACTACCTGCTCTCGCGACATTTTACCGAAGCATTAATATCCACCAGAATCTGAAGCAGCCGTACATGTCATTTTCAAGTTTTACTCATGACCTTGGTTATTGGTTACCCCCTGATGGTAAGCCTTCAAACCACCTGTCCATAATCATCCAACGGATATGCTAAGCTAATGTCACATGTCTAGGTACGACTAACGTTAGCATAATTCTTTCGCTTTTAACATGCACAATCCAAATTTTCCTTTTTCTCGTAAGATGTTTTTGTACATTTTGTTGTTAAGCTGTCAATTTAAACACATTCAAATATGAGAGTTCATAATTTTAGTAGTTAAGACAGAGACTTGAATCTACCACTTTTTTTAAATAATAATAATAATTTAAATCATAATCTAATATCACTTTTGTTTAAACTCATGGCCATTCCCACCATCAATGATTCAGAATGAGATTGATAGTTAGGAAGGAAGCATAGCAACCTTGTTTAAAAATAGAATATTTCCATATATAGTTAATACTTTCCTACTGCCAATTAAGCAACAACTAAAGACAGATGTAATGTCCAAAGCTTGTGGACAGCACCTAGCTAGCCATAGATAGAAAATTTCATTCGGCGGCCTACTTTTGCATCAAATAATTAATATATTAATTAACATAACCACATTTTTTTATTTTCCAAAAACACATTGATTATTTATTTAAAATTTTCTTCTTAAAAATACATGGTTGAAAATGAAGCATAGGATTCCTCTAAGGTCTAAGGTGTGTGCTAGAAAAAGTACATGGCACAGCACGTATAGCCGGAGACAACAATGTGGGGATCAAAACAGACCATGTCACCCTTTGGGAGCCTCCATAAATTATTAAAATCATGTCCATCTTGCAATGCAAAACCCCTTGCTCCATTTCTAACATTTTTTTATATTAATTATTATGTAACAAAACAAAGTTTATTTGTCTTTGTGTATTAGTTAGTTATACCAAAGACAGCTCATTATACCATTCACAATCATTATACAAATATATGGTTATTTTCGACCGTTGATGTATGAGAAATGTATAATAAAAATTATATATCAACGTTGCGTTGTGTTGCGTGTACGATTGTATTTAACATTTATTAATATTAATATTTGTATTACATGAATGAGAAAAGGAATTTGGCCACTGTGTAGAGCATTGGTCAAACTAGTTGCCATCAAAATCACATAGTATGACCTCAAGTTTCCAAATACCAAGTTGTGGTTCAAAGAGCAACCGACCTTATATTCCGAGAAGAAGAAGACAACTTAACACTCCCGTCCTCGGATTAAGACCATTATTGGAATGTCATTATAACTCATAAGGGACCTAATTCAAAAAAATGAAACCAAATTGTTTTTCGTAGAATCGTCACTTACATGTAGTCGGTTCTCAATAGAAAATAAATAATCTTAGTCACTTGAGTTACAAGTCGTTTTCAACAATTAATAGATAATCACCAGTTATTAAAAATTAAATTTCAACTCTTAATTTTGAAAGAAATAGTAGAAGAAAATTTTAAAATTAAAACATTGAAAGTAAAATTGGATGTAGATAGACTAAATGATGCGAATATTCAAAGAGTGAAGAGGAGAGAGAGCCCCACACCCTGAAAGAGCGTGGTTTCATTTCACAACTCACATGCTGGATCCGGGCCTACCCTGCGGCCACTGGGTCCCATATCCGATGACATCTCCACAGCATCTGATTGGAGCACCACTCCACGCGCTCACTCAGCGTGTGTCGTCATACGCGGTGCTCCTCCTGTCAGTCTCGGTGTGAGGTGTCAATCTTAAAATCTTACAGCAACGACAGAGAAGGAAAGAGCGAGAGAGAGGGTCTCAAAATCTGAATGAAATGGCGTCCGCATCGCCTCTCTCTCTAGCTACAGCAGCAAGCAAAGGCAAAGCAAGACGCCATTAAAACCCTCTCAATTCTAAACCCCACCACCTCTGCCCACCATTACTTTTGCTCCTACCCAGCACAGTTCAAGCCTCACCACATCCCATTTACTAGTTTCTTTACCCTTTTGAGCTCTTTCCTTAGAGACGTCCATTGGAATTCAATGTCAGGTTCTTATGCTCAGAATTTCTCACCGGCAAGAGCGCTCTCTCCGCACCTAAGAACCCCGCCCGATGTGGATAGCCAGTACTTGACTGAACTGTTGGCAGAGCACCAAAAGCTTGGACCTTTCGCGCAGGTCGTTCCCATATGTGGCCGACTCTTGAATCAAGGTTTCTCTTTTGCCCATGTTTGTTTTTGGACCAAGTCCTTTTTTCTGTGTTATGATTGTGATTTGGATTTGCTTTTGGGTGTTTTTACGGCCCAAAATTAAAATCTTTCTGCTTTTTTCTATGAACCCAATTGAAAATTCTGCATCTTAATAGCTGTCTGCTGTTCATTTCTGTATATGGGTGTTGGGTAATTGATGAATTATGAAAGCCATGGAAAGAAAGATCAGAACTTGTTGATACAGGAGAAAAGAATGCAGATTTCTCAGCCTTGCGTAACTAGGATGTTTATTTGGTCCTTGAATTACTTATTATGAGTATGCTCTGCCCACCTTTGGTGGTTCAAAGTAGTCTTTCACACAACCTCCTCATCAAGGATTGGGATGGAGATTAATGCTTTTGGATAAAATGGAACTTCTTTTTCCTCACAATATTGGAGTTGACTTGCATGTTCAATGTGTTATGTTCTTTTTCATTTGCTTTCATCACTAATCTCTCCATTTCATATGTGTTCTACTTGTCATATTGATTTCTTAAACTTTGCCAAGAAACTGATTCAATGCTCTATATTCTTGTTTCATTATATTATATATTGAGGAAGGGAAATGCTAAAGTTTGGTACTCTTCTATTTTTTGATAGAGATAATACGGGTTTCTGGAATGATGCCCAACCAAGGGTTTAGTGACTTTGACAGAATGCAACGTGGAAGCCCTAGCCCCATTGGTTCAGACATAATGCCAAACTATAGAGGGTCAGGCCTGGGTGGCTGGAACGGCCGACCTCATGATGTAAGTACTTGAAATCATGTTCTCTTTTATGTAACACCCATAGTTTGCATCTCTGGTCTTCCATTTTTCTTTATCTATAGCACAGTAGTGCATTGATTATTTTTCTTGCTGCCCCTTTTCTGATTTGTTTAAACTGTGTATGCCTAAATGAATTTCCTGCTAGATTTGTTGTATCTTGTATGTATGTCTATGCCTACCTGCTTAATTGGTATGCAAAGCATGAACGTCTGAAAAACTAGTTTAAATAATCGTTCATGGCAATGTGGAACTGAACAAGAGGAAAGCATAATCAGGTCCTGAGAGATACTGAGTAGTATTCTACTGACGTGGAAGACTTGGATCTTGCCTGAAGTGGGGTCAGAATGTGTAATGCAGTATTGGGAGTTTGGAAGTTGATTATGGTGGTCTTCTATCCACAGGTTGAGAGACAGTATTGCTTACTTTTTGTGGACTTGAAGACTGCCAAAACACTCTTATGTATCAGCCTACGACATGGTTTCCTTCTGGGTCAGTTATCCACTGACTTTTTCCAAATTCATCTATTTCCATTAGGTGGCTTTCTCAACTGTGAATTCATTTTGATCCAGGACATAGTCAAAGTGTGATTAAGGCAGGGGTGTCCGTAAATCCACTGGCTTCATATACCATTAAATCCATTATTATATGGTAAATAGTGGAAGTTTCAGCTTTATAATATGGTTGAAGTTTATTAATTGATTTTATATACTTCGAAGCTATTTTATGTTAGTTGACTAGCTTGGATATCCCACTACGTTGAATGTTGTGTATTTTGAGCTTTTTCTACGTTTATTTTATGTGGAATAGGCTACAGTTCCCCTATCTGTTTCTCAGTTTATCTTTTTATCATTTTGTTCATGCTCCATTAATTCTTCTTTTTTCCTCTTGGTATAGTTTCAATAGTTTGCCTTTGGTTGCATAATTGTAACAGAGATTAGGTGGTCCACAAGGGATGAATATGGAGTGGCAAGTCGCACCATCAAGCCCAAGTTCCTACATTGTGAAGAGGATATTGCGCTTGGATATTCCAGTAGATAGCTTTCCAAATGTAAGCCATGCATATCACTTGAGAGTGCGTTATGTGAGATTGCTATCTTAAATTCTAATGATTAAAAAGAACCAAGTGTTAGTGTGCAGAGGCGCACACACAGTTATTCTTTAATAAGGTTCTTGAAATAAGTACATGTGCCTCAATGCATCTGATTTCAGCCTTCACATATGATCTAACGAACAACTGAGAAATAAGTCCTTATTTAAGGATCTCTCTCTCTCTCCCCGCACTTTTTGTGATACTAAAGCTTCTATTTTTGTAGTTCAATTTTGTGGGCCGGCTTCTGGGTCCTAGAGGCAATTCACTAAAGAGGGTGGAAGCTTCTACAGGTTGTCGTGTATACATAAGAGGAAAATGTTCAATAAGAGATATTGACAAGGTAGAATTATTCTCAGTGTGTTGTGTGCGTTAAATAAGAAGTTTTCAGGATTTTAAATCAAGTTCTTTTTTCTTGTTCTGTTTTCATTTCTACTACATGTTTTACGTCTCTTGACATATATTTCTTGCTTTCCTGCTCTCAAGGAGGAATCTTTGAGAGGAAGACCAGGTTATGAACATCTGAATGATCCGCTGCACATTATAATTGAGGCTGAATTACCTGCTAATATTGTTGATATGCGGTTGAGACAGGCAAAACAAATCATAGAAGAACTTCTCAAACCCATGGTATTTTTTCTGATTCATCCCTTTGGCTTTTCAATACAAATATTGTTGCCTTTCCACTATGATGTATCGTTATTCACAAGTACATATCACATGAATAATGAAACTGATTTTACCTTCCCTCAACGTACAATATTTACTGGTTCAAAATAAATAGATTGTATGAGGTTGCCCTTGATTCGCATAAATAATGAATCTTGATTTTCATTTCAGGACGAGTCACAAGACCACTACAAGAGGGAACAGTTGAGAGAACTAGCTATGCTAAAATCCAATCTAAGAGAAGAGAGTCCTCAACCATATGGTAGTGTGTCTCCTTTCACTTCAAGTGGGATGAAGCGTGCCAAAACTGGTCTGTAACGTTTCATTTGACTCGTCTTCTCATTGGTTCTTCCTCCTGTACACTCTTGAACTTTTTTGCCATCGAATGCTTCTCGGTGTATTTCAATCCTGTCTGCAAAGGAGGGCGCGTTATGGACCTGTTTGGTGAGATCAATGCAGGGTTTTCTTCCATGACATTAAGATATACGGATGAACGGAGATATTCTTTTGTTATAGTTTTTCGTGGTTGTAGTTGATTGTGATTGTAGAAGTAGAAAAATTATGGCATATAAGTTATTCTTTATTTTGCTGAACAAGTATCTTGTTATTAACTTGACATTGTCTAAAACTCTGAAGTGGGAATATGCATCGATTGTTTAATATGTTTTACATTTGTGGGTGAATTCAGTTCTTTGAATGAGCTGTTTATCATGCTCCTCGGCAAACATTATCCCGTCTTGCAGTAGACACTGTTTCTATGCCCACATAGGTGAATGAAATTTGACTCGGAGTTGGGGATGGTAGAGAGAGAATCAATCAGTTGGAAATGTGATAAAACGTTGCAAACATTTTTTTTGTAAGTAAACAAACACAGTGAATATTCACATGAGAAAAACCAACTTAGTAGAGGTAAACCAACATTTTTCTGTTATGACAATCAAAAAATTCTTCTAAAAGAGTTTTGCGCAAAAAAAAAATAAAAAATCTTAGAAGTGCTTTTGCCTTTAGGACATAAAAGCTTTTTATGAAGAAGCACATGTCAGGTGTTTTTAGAAATAAGCGTTGTTGTCGAAAGGAATAAGAATTAAATGCCCAAGTCAACTGCTGGCTCGATACGTTTTTCTGTCCATCTTTTAACAAGCATTTTCGAGGACTAGCCCGCTTCCATAGGAGAATTCCTCGCACACTTTCAATATACTTATAATAAAGTGCTTATGAGCAAAAGTGTTTCATATGAAGTGCTTATTAGATTAGAGTAGTTTAGAATATTGCTTTGTAAAACAAAAACAAAAGAAGGGTTCAAAACTATTTGTCTCTGCACCCGGAGTTCTTTGTTTATTTTCCTCTCCCCTACTAATATCGCCTATATAAAAAGACATGGAGCTTTGAGAGATGTGTGTATGGCTGGGTTTGGAGAGCGAGCCCCAACCATGGGTTTGACTAAATGAATGGGCTTGAAAACGGTCTTAGGCCCAGATTTGGTTATGTTGGATCCATGGACAGAAAATAGAGTTATTTGGGTGTGGACCAGTGGGCTTTGATATATAAGAATTAGATTGCGTAAGAAAGGTATTTGATTTGCTCATATCAACTGATAAGCTGAGACCAAAAACCAAAGGGAAGTTGAGAAGTTTCTGGAGAAGGGAAAAATGGGGAAGCAGCCGGTGAGGATGAAGGCAGTGGTGTACGCGCTTTCACCGTTTCAGCAGAAGGTGATGCCTGGTCTCTGGAAAGATCTGCCGACGAAGATCCACCACAAGATCTCCGAGAACTGGATCAGCGCCACCCTCCTTCTCGGCCCACTCGTCGGCGTCTACTCGTAAGCTCTCCTTCTCCTTCTTCTTCTTCGAATCTTCCTTTTTTTCGTTGATTTTTATATTCATATGAGATAATTGATCGAATTTTCTGGATTTATAGTAAAAACTAAATTTGAAAGCTTTTTCTTTTTGCCACAAAGAATTGTCAATCCCCATTTCACCAATCGCATTCTCTCTCTAAGTTTTCCCAAGATATGATATTAGGGTTCAAGGGCTTCACTTTCGCAGCCATACCGAAATAATTATTTGTTTAGATTGTAGCTGAGGAATTTGGACGAAAAACTGGGAAAAAAAAGGTGGCAGCTTTTGATTTTTAATTAATATTTTTTTTCACCGATGCATGCCGTCCGTATTTTTATTGGATTTTCTTACAAGTCGTCGAGTACATATTTTTTTTTCTTGGTTTTTCATAATCAGTTGATTGTTTAGAACCAGTGATATTTAGTTCATCTGCTTAAAGGAATATGTGTGTGTGTTGGTTGGGGTTGAACCCTTTCATATCTTGCTTGAGAAGTCACTAGTTTTCAAAATGAGGACTTGATAAAACAATGAACAAGATAATTAGAAAACTAAAAAGAATTGAGACACAGCCTAAAATCTTTTCACACTATTCATCAAATTCTAGCAAACATTAGCGTAGGATGTAAATAAATTAACTTAGCTAAGTTGTGTATAAGGCTCAGATAAAAGGGTTTTTTTGTTTTGAATAGGCATTTTGTTCGTCAGTAATACATTTGTTTCAACATTGCAAAGTCAGACCAATCTGTAATTGCCCTCTTCTTCATTTCTGTCATCGTCGATTTTACTTATTATTTGCTGTCTAACTCCCCTTTCCTATTCTTCTTCCCTATGCCCACAAAAATGTTTTGATTAAATAGACCATATTTTTTTAGTTCTTGTGCTCGATTCTGAAATGTATGCAGGTATGTTCAGAGCTACCAGGAAAAGGAGAAATTGGAGCACAGGTACTGAAGCTATGGATTCAGTCAATAGCTGTTGAAATTGCCAGAAGAAGTGTAGTTTTTCTTGTTTCTCATGCGAATAAGTTTGAGTAGTTTTTTTGGTTATTGGTTAAACTTGTACTTCAATGTTGAGCTTTGATACTGGGAATTCCAGTTCTTGTCTTGACTTGTACTTGTTAAATTGACAATTTTTTGGGGGTATTTCTAGATTGATGCATTGGTTTGGTGCCAAATTAATAAAATAATGCTTATATGGCTTATGTTGCCTACAACCCAATACATATCAAATGAGAATTGAGATGTTGCCATCATTTTCTTTGTTACACTCTCGATTGTGAATTCCCTTTTCATTCTTCCTTTGGTTGGTTATTGCTCTTGCTTTTCCATTCCTTTAGGCCTTATTGTCTTTGCGTTTGCTCCCCGCGCCTGTTCAGGCTAGGGCCCTCGTCTTGGGCCTGCTTTGCCTTCGGGCTTTTATGAAGTACTCTTCTTGACCCAAAAAACAGAAAAAAATAAAAGAAGAAAAGAAAGCCATTGACCATTGTGATGCAATATGGATGAAGCTGTGATCTATGGCCGTTCACGAAAAATCTAGAACTTGCCAAAATCAGGGTTGGTAAGTAGTTTTGTGGTCTCCAACTAGAAGGCCTTATAGCTTAAGTAGTTAAGAACATTTATCTATGCATTTGAGGTTTTTAGTTCGATTTCCATTCTTCTAATATCGCTTGCATTTAAAGAAATTTTAAAAAAATTGTGATCTACTGAAGGCTGAAGCAAAGCTTCTTACTCACTTCCTCATCAATGAAAAGGTCTCGAGATAAATTATAAATACGTAATCATTTGTAAATCACGCAGGACACAAATCCAAATTAGATTTGGGTTTGGGCTTCATTTTATGGTTGGGGCCGAAGTAAGAACAATAGGAAAAGGAGAAAAAGAGGAAATAAAGGTAACAAACAATTAATCAAAACGACGTCGTCAGTCATAGTTAATTTGAGGGAGATTTTGGAAAAATACAAAGGAGAGAAATTTTTTGTAAAAGAAGCTAAAATGAACAAAATTATCCTTATTTATTTTTGGATTTTTTAAAGAATCCTTTACATTTGCATGTTTTTAATTTGAAAATTAAGAGGTTTTTTGTCTTTTTTTAAAAAAATTTGGCTTTTTCAAAAAGTGAATTTTTTTTTTTTGACTAAAACCTAAATTTACTTAATTTTTGAAATTCAAACGGCGCACTTTCTTTCCTTGTTCAATGCACGCCAGGGTTCAACTTCATACCGCTCACCTCGTCTGTTAGGCTGCGCAAAAACTGAACACCTCAACTCTCTCTGGTTTTCTGATACGGCGACGTTCTCACTCGATCAATCGGATCTTGCTTTTTCGTTGTTGGGTCAATCCAATTCCAAGCGAAAAATGGTAGCTGCTGTCGACTCATTCACCGCCAACACTTACGAAGAGGCTCGCAACCAACGCCTTGAAGAAAACAAAAGGAAGTTCCAGGTCTGTGTCTGCAATCCCATTCATAACTTCTTCTTCTTCTTCATTTTCGAAAAGAAGAAAACTTTTCATCTTTGAACTCTCATTTGCTGCATAATTTTGGCTGATGAAGGATTTGGGAATTTCAAACATTTCGAAGACTCTGACCCACTTGACTGCTTCTCCGAACAAGTCCCAGGTTAAAGAAAAATCTAGACTTGTTTCCATCTTCTCATTTTCTTATATTGCTGTGGGTTTTCATTTCAATACTTGAAAAAATTTAGAAAGTTCGTATCTTTATGGTGGTACCGTGCTACAGCAACGTGTTTCAAGACCCAAAGCAAAAAATACCTGTTTTGATTTAGAGCCAAGACGGTCTTCCCGTCAACGCAACCCAATCCAATCGTATCGTGATGATGTAAGTGATGCACTCACAACTGGTCTATGTGTGATAAGCAAGTTTTGATTTTGAACCATGAACATCAATTTATGGGAAAAGGAATGAATCGATTTTTGCTTCCCATTGCAGGTTGACATAGGCCTGCCAACTTTGAGGAAAGGGTCAAGGAAAACTTCATCTTCATGGGGAAGGTAGGATAGATTTTTGGCTGTTGAATTCATGTTGCTTTATTGCATCAATTATTTAGCTGTTTTGGTGGTAATTGTGTGAAACTTTCAGCTACCTTGCAAGGCCTATAGAGGAAGTCAGAGCAGCTTCTTATGAAGAAAGGAGTGCTGCTTTTAAAGCTGCAGAGAAGCTTCAAGAGAATCTACAGACTGAGAATCCATCTTTTGTCAAATCGATGGTTCGGTCTCATGTTTATAGCTGTTTCTGGTTGGTAAGTTGCAACAAAAAACTTGGTTTTTAAGTACTGTCGTCATTACTTATTAGTGGTTTGTTTAATCTATAACACAACATCAAACAAGTTGTAGCAGATATAATTGTGTTACTTGATTAATTAATCTATTTGTCTACTGGTTTCGTTTCGATATCAAGGGGCTTCCTTCAAAATTTTGCGAGGATCATCTCTCAAAAACGGGGTCGGAAATGGTACTAGAGGATGAAGATGGCAATGAGTATGATGCTGTCTACATTGGCAAGAGAGCTGGGCTTAGTGGAGGCTGGAGAGGGTTTGCTTTGGAACACAAGTTGGATGATGGTGATGCGCTTGTGTTTGAACTGACTGAACCCGCAAGATTTAAGGTACGCTTAAATATATATTAAAAAAAATTGATCTTGCAAGAGCTTGCCCTCTTATTATGCTCGATCGATGTAAGCATATTGTCTAAATCTAGGAATGAAACATTTGAGGAATTAGACACTTCAAATATGTTCTTAGGTAGTTCATGCATAGTAGTAGTACCATTCCATTATATGTTGAGGCTTAGGCTTGAGCAGTGTAGTAATTAGACACTTCAAAACATATTCTTATCACAGTTTTCTTTTTTTTGGACAAAATTCTTATCACAGTTTAATCATAAACTTTCAAGATCTGATGATTTGATTATCGTTTTTTTATTTTTTCAGTTTATGGCCGTTTTAAGTCATCAAATGCATCATTATCTGATGAGGCTTTGGCTTGATTTGAGAATGTATGCTTTCTATACGCTTATCTGGACTTGTTTGAAAGGCCAAATATTGAACTAGTAGTTGTTACGACTGCAGATCTACATAGTTAAGGCATACCCCATGCCGAGTCTAGAATGTTTGAAAAACAACGTGGACAAAGAAGAGATTACCAGTGCTGAAAAGACATCAAAGGCAGCCATGAAGACTGACTCAGAATCAAATCAGAAACGAAAGTCAAAGAGAGGTATTGTGCCTGAGATGGATGAGTCTCAAACTTCCCCAGACTCAGAACCAAATCAGAAACGAAGGTCAAAGAGAGGTACTGTGCCTGCAATGGTTGACACAAAAACTTTCCCAGACTCAGAATCGATTCAGAAACGAAGGTCAGAGAGAGATGTTGTGCCTGTGATGGAAGACTCAAAAACTTCCCCCGTCTTGGAACCAAATCAGAGACGAAGGTCAAAGAGAGGTTTGGTGCCTGAGATGGATGACACAAAAACTGCCCCAGACTCAGAACCAAATCAGAAACGAAGGTCAAAGAGAGGTTTGGTGCCTGAGATGGATGACACAAAAACTGCCCCAGACTCAGAACCAAATCAGAAACGAAGGTCAAAGAGAGGTACTGTGCCTGCAATGGTTGATACAAAAACATCCCCAGACTCGGAATCAATTCAGAAACGAAGGTCAGAGAGAGGTGTTGTGCCTGTGATGGAAGACCCAAAAACTTCCCCTGTCTTGGAACCAAATCAGAGACGAAGGTCAAAGAGAGGTATGGTGCCTGTAATGGATGACACAAAAACTTCCCCAGACTCAGAATCGAATCAGAAACAAAGGTCAAAGAGAGGTATCGTGCCCGAAATGGATGACACAAAAACTTCTCCAAAGGTTCTGCCAGATAGCCCCAAAGGTCAAGAAATTGAACAGGAAGTCAGCCCGATGAAGAAGAATGAAGTTGCTCCTAAACAAATTAGAAAGAAAGCTAAAGCAAACAGAGTTCGTAGCACAGAAAATCCAGAAGGTTGCGAAGTACAGGAAGCAAACACAGAAAGTCCAGAAGGTTGTGAAGTCAAACAGGAAGCAAGCACAACTGCGACGGATAGTAGAGTTGTTAAAGATGAGAAGGAATGTGTAGCTAGGAAACCCAGAAAGAAAGTTGTAAAGGAAAGGCTTTTCCGAAAGAGAGCATAGCGGTAGAAGGCTTTATAACTTGCTTGACATCCCAACCTTCGGTTTACGAGGCGAAGTGTTTCCAAAACAGAACGGACTTCAAATTCTGTTCGCAGTGTACTTGTTCCATTTCTTCGGGTCTTTAACTTTCTAATTTTTGAAATAGCCTTGACAAAACTTGAAACTTAATACGGCATGCAAGGAGGCAATCCATGACGGTTCAATCAAATTGTTTAATTTCAAACTGAAAACACCAGCACTATGGTCTAAGGGGACTATTTCTGTTATATGCGTGGTTAACACCGTTAAAACTATAACATTAAAAACTCTATCCAGCAAAAGATCTGTAGCCTGTGATTCAAGTACTTCCATTGCATGAGAAACTGTAAATTTATTGTTGATATATATATATATATATATATCATTACCAGATAAGAACATCAAAAGAGACAACATAATAAGCCAATTCATGCAAAGCAACGGCTTTCTGATAACATTAACGATAACCAAAAACTTTCATAAAAATATCGAATACACAACTCCAACATGAGTTTGCCCAAACATTTCCGAAACGTACATAATCTAGTCAACAGAAATCAAAACAGAAATGTAATATGGATTTCATGAACACAATTTCTAATGGAAGTTGTGTTACATGAATCAGTTCACAGCAGCATCAATGAATGCTCCTCCAGGACGGCGCAAAGCCAAAGATCCATGGCATCCCAAAAGCTGCAAGAACCAACATAAATCGTTAGTTATTGGCATTGTCACATGAAATCAAATTTAAGGAACTAAAAATTATAATAAAAATATATTTGTTAGAAATAAACAAACCTTGGCATTGACACCATCAGGAACAATACGATGCTCTGCCTTCAACCTGACATAGTCAGCTCGGCTGAACTTGGTAAAGCCCCTGAAAAAGCAAGACATCAACAAAGTTTCAGTATAATATAGATTAATTCTAATTCTACTTACGACAAAAAGTTTCTTCAACAGAAACCATGATATACAACAAAAATGCAATCAAAATAAAAAATTCGATTTTGGGTTTCGAGTCAGATTGCAAATACAAATTTATAAATAAACACAATCCTAGATATGTATTTATAAAAAAACCCAAATCCTATTTAAACATAGAAACACACTCAAAATCAACACCAAAGTCAACTTTTTAGGTGTGTTTATAAATGAGTTTTGAGTGTGTAATGATGGATTTTGAGTGTGTTTATATGTTAAATATTGCTTGGATTTTTTTATAATTTCAACACCCAGTTTGGGTGTTTTAGTGACACTTCCGAATGCAAAACCCATGACCCATATGCACAAAATAAGAAACAAACTCAGAAATTAAGAGTGTAACATACCATTTCCTGCTCTCAATGATCTTTTGACGACCAGGGAACTTGAACTTGGCACGGCGGAGAGCCTCATGAGCATGGTTCTTGTTGCTATCTTTGCAACGAACAGAGAGAAGCACCTGACCAATATCAACCCTAGCGCAAGTACCCAGGGGCTTCCCAAAAGCACCTCTCATACCAGTCTGAAGCCTATCGGCTCCGGCACAAGAAAGCATCTTATTGATCCTGAGAACATGGAAGGGGTGAACCCTAACCCGCAAATGAAAGGTGTCCTTTCCGGCGAACTTGGCCATGTACTTGTTGCAGGCGATACGAGCGGCCTCGAGAGCTTCGCTCGAAACGTTTTCTTTCTCCCAAGAAACGAGGTGGATGCAGAAGGGAAACTCATCCACGCCCTTCTTCTTCATACCCACATCGTAGATTCGGATCTTAGGGTCCGGAACACCACGGCAGAAACGGGATTTCGGGTAGGGTTTGTTCTTGATCTGGCGATAGCACCTGGCTGGCCTTCGTCCCATGGCGACCGATTTCGGCTGCCCAAACCCTAATTCTCAAAATGAAGAGGGTGGAAGATTGAAGAGAGGCGTTTGTGATTTATATATATAGTCCGATTTTCTGAAGCCCTAAGGCGATTGTCATTAGTCGGCTTCTGCGTATGGGCTTACGTCATGTGCCCATGGGTCGGCTGGTCTATTGACTTGGCCCAAATCAGTGTTTTGGGTTGCTTCTTGGACCCGACTCATGTTATCTAGGACTTAAATTTAACCCAAAAACAATGCGGACGTTTCGGGTCAAACTTTGTCAAACTTTACCATCTTCCAATTCGTTATGGTGGGCCATACCTTTTATGCACCACAAAAATGTCATCAAACATGCTTTAGATTGTAAAGGGTTTATAGCTCAAGTGGTTAAAACCAGTTATCTATGCACATGACACGAAGTCTTATATTTGAATCCTCCTCTTCTATACTTTTAAAATATTATATTTATAGAGCATAGATGCGCAGCTAGACCTTTAAAATATTCTATTTTTGGAGTATAGCTAGGCAACTTTTAAAATATTCTATTTATACAATATAGCCCGTGACTATACTCTTTAAATATATGCCACAATAATAAAAATATGGATTTCTCTATAGGTTCGTCTTTTGAGGTGCCCTCTATGAAAATCCAACTCCCATATATTTATAAACAAAACACTATGATGGTTTGGTAAGTGTGGTTAACATTGGAGAGTTGGACTAATGGGCATGGCTACAGGCTCGGCTTCCATTAATTCGAAGTGATCTAATAAGGCAAATTTGGCCGAGATATATATCTACCGATGAAATTTCATCGGGAGAAGTTTTAAAATAAATAAATAAATATGAGCTTAGTATGTTTAGGTTAATTAATTTTTTTAATTTTTTTTAGTAATTAAATAATATCTTTGCCTTATTTAATTAGTCAAATTAGTAATTATATTTTAATTATTATTTGTTTAGTTAATAATTAGTATTAAAAAATGTAATTAACTTCATGAATTATATTACTTAAAAAATAGTAATTAAAATTTTCTATTTTTTGTTTAATAAAATATGTAAATAATAATTATTCATTAAGTAAATAATAACTAAAACATAACTACTAATTAAAGTAATTAAAAAAGAGAAATTCATGTTATGCTACTTAAAGGGTATAGCCGCACGGCTATACCTTTAAGATATTATAATTTTTAGAGTATAACCGCGAGGCTATACCTTTAAGATATTCTATTTTGGAGTATCGCCGTGCGGCCATACGATTTATTAATTTTTTTTTTAAAAGACCACCTGGCAGCTAGCTCCATCGACGCGCATGTCAAAAACAGTATAGCCGCGCAGCTATACTATTTTTTTAAATCATAAAACTGTAGTATAGCCACCTGGGTATACCCTTTTTTATAATAAAAAATCCGAGTATAGCCGCACCGCTCCACTATTTTTTTTATAATAAAAACCCATGGTATAGCCTTGTCGCTATACTCCGAAAAATAAAAACCCCAGGTATAGAAGCCGGGATATACTGTTTATTAAAAATAAAATAAAGAGGACCCGTCTGCGCTTGACCCCATGTCAAAAACATTATAACCGCGAGGCTATACGCTTTCAGTATATTATATTTAAGGGAGTTTCGCATTTTAGACAGCACTTTACATGAAAAATACTACCACCTCGCTGACTACTATACCTATAATTCATTGTTTGAAATTGTTGTTGTGGTTGGCAAAGAATTTGCAAAATCACCATCTTGCATTTTTGTTACAACAAGTAAGAAATAATCTTAGCCTCTCACATTATTTCAGTTAGTAAAATATGAAACGGGAAAAATATGCATAAAATAAATACATTTTTTATTCGGCAATATTTTGGCAAATTACAACGGATAAGTTCGGCCATTGTATATTATTTTAATATGATTTTTAATTTTTTAATATATATGATTTTTATTCAATAATATTCAAAAATTATGTGTATAATACTTGAATTATGTGTGTATAATTGAAAATTGTGTATAAAAAAAGCATATTAAAGATGAAAAATACGTACGTACGTGTACAATGCAAGTATTAAACATGAAAATGCTAAATTATTTATATGAGTAATAGAAGTAAAAACTCAAAAGGGGACAACAAAGACTCGAGTAATGGCATAATAGTAATGGATAATGTTCTAAACAGCTCTTATTGATAAACGAAAATTTATGGAAAAAAGGATCCCAATATATATATATATATATAGATAGAGAGAGAGAGAGAGAGAGAGGAGAGAGAGAGAGATTATAGCCGCGAGGCTATACTATTTCTTTAAAAATAAATCGAGTATAGCTGGAATCTAGAGAAATTTAATTAAGAAACCTAAATGTAAATAAATAATTTATTTTTTTGACGTCCATTGAACTTCAAGTACTTACTATTTATTAAGTCATCTATGAAATCAGTAACATATAAAGAAATAAGAATTAAAACATAATTACTAATTAAAGTAATTCAAAAAGGCTAAGACATTAATTAATAAAATATATTAAATTAAAGAAGTTGGCAAAAAAAAAAAAGTAAAGAAACTAATTTTATATTTTTACAAAACAAAGCAAAAAAAAAAACAAAACACCTATGCCAATGAATTTTCGTCGACACAAGTCTATGCCGGCACAATTTGACAAATTAGACCTCTCCCTACAAAAGTGGTCTAATACGGCAAATTTCTCTAGGAAATATATCTACCGACAAAATTTCGTCGCACAAGTTTTTTATTTATAAAAATAAAAATAAACTTATTATGTTTAGGTTAATTATTTTTTAAAATTTTTATTTTTAGTAATTAAATAATATATTTGCCTTATTTAATTAGTTAAATTAGTAATTATATTTTAATTATTATTTCTTTAGTGAATAATTAGTTTTAAATATTTTAATTAACTTCATAAATTATATTACTTAATAAATAATAATAAAAATTTTCTATTTTTTGTTTAATAAAATATTTAAATAATAATTATTCACTAAGACCATCTCCAACCCAATGACCTAAACCCAAAATATCCCAAATTATTGCACAAAACCTTTCCTAATCCAAGAAAATGAATAGGCCAAAATTTGGGAAAACCCAAATTTGGAGGCAAATACCAGACCACTTATTGCTTAGACCCAAATTCTTTCGTGGAGCCCACCTTCATATCAAACAGCCCCCATGTGCAAAGATTCCTCCGTAGGCCCCACCTTCTTTTTTGCTGTTGCTTTTTTGTCTTCCACATGCGCCACGTGTCGATGCCCTAGGGAGTTGCCGTTGGAATCCAACGGCAACTTTTGAAATTATTGCTTTTTGTTTTTTTTGTTTTTTTGTTTTATACATATAACTTAAAACGATGGGGATTAAATCTATGTTATCTTAACAATAAAAAAAAGATCCAACGGTTGAAATTTAAATCTAATAGTCAAACTAATATTTTAAATTAAAGTAATGCTACACTTACCACATTATTATCTCACATTTCTATACCACATGATGTGGCATGTCCATATCATATGACATATCAATTAAATGAATGAAGTG